AAAAAAAAAAAAAAAAAATTTACTCGTTCAGGGTGGCATTCTTATCCTTCGCTCTGCTTTGATATTTCCCATTTTCATGCAATTCAGAAACATTTAGCAACTTATGTGCTGGGCACAGTGTGCCAGACCCGGTCTGATAGGCAATTCAGAGCTCACAGGCAAGGGAATAAGAGAAGACAGTTTGTTTTGTTTTGTTGGAGTTGGAGTGTCACTCTTGTTGCCCAGGCTGGAGTGCAATGGTCACAGCCACCCCAACCTCGACCTGCTGGACTTAGGTGATCCTTCCACCTCAGCCTTCCAAGTAGCTGGAACTATACACGCACACCACCACGTGTTTTGTTTTTTAAGGGAGTTAGTATCTACTTAACATCTACTATGAGTCAGGCACTATGCAAGATCTCTGTGGAACTACCCATGAAAAACATAGGTTTAGAGCCCGCTCTCAACTGTCTGAGGATGCTGCAGTAACAGCTCACAGGAGAGATGAGAAGAGGGGTCTCATCCCTGTCTCTTCACCTGGCAGTGCCTGCTGGGCCCAGAAGCAGGATGCAATGGAGGCTTGAGCACTGGCCAGGGTGCTCCCACCCGCTCAATCTGATTGGGAAATGATCTGTCACGTAAATCTATATAATCTATTCCTCATCTCTTTTCTAGAATTTCCTGGGAAAAAGATATAAAACACCTGTGTGGGTGTACATATATGCATTAAATCATAAATCAGTTCCAGGAAGGATGGAAGGATGCCTGGTTCTCTTTGAACAGTTTTTATAAGTTTTTGGTACTTTGATTATACTCTCACAAACAAGAGTCCAGATTTCTTTGCTTTCCCATCCTCAGACTCCTTTGCCTAAACATCCTCCCTGGGGACCAACCCCTCCCCATCCAAGTGAGGGTACAATACTCTCCTCTCTTACTTTAGCTATTTTAAATTTTTCACTCGAATATGCAACCCCTTTCTCCACCCTGAGGAAAAGACACCACTGAGGTTCATTTTTCAGAAAATAAATAGAGGAAATATGACATAAAAGGAAGGGGGTGTCACTTTCCTTTAACTCCATCGCTCTGACTGCTTTTTAACTCCCGAGGTCCCTCAAAACGCCCTCCTGTCACTTCCTAACATTTCTGTCCAGGCTCCTCTTCTCCCTGATCCTCTTGTCCTGACAGATGAAGCGACATACGGTATGTGTTCCATGTTTACCAGGCTGGCCTGACCAGTCCTACTTTCAAGTCTAACCTTCATCCCTTAGGCAGCAGCTCTAGCCCATTTCCTCTCATTCAAGTAAGAACAATGCCCGCCGTCCCTATCTCCCTGCCCGCTATCCTGTGCTCTCTTTGTATTCGTCCCGTAGATTCAAACAGGATCTTCCCCCGTAGCCTTCAAGAAGAGGTAGGGCTGCCGCCACCCTTCCCCGCAGAGTAACGAGAGGAAACTGCGGCCGAGGCGCAACCCAACCCGGGAATCCGCGCCGCGACCAGGCGGCTCCCGGCGCGTGCCCCGCACCCGGCTCCAGCCACGCCCCGCGCGGTGCCGAGGCCTC